CCCAGGGTGACAGCTTGAAGCTCTTCTCAAAAAAAAAAATAATAATAATAAATTTTAGAAATCAACAAAATGATGAAAAGGAGAGGGTGACTAAAAATTTTAAGATGTATTCTAACTAAATGTTTCTATGTAAAAATTTTATTTATAGGGATGTGTTTGCAAATCAGTTTATTTTTTTTTTCTTCCTTTGGTAACTATCTTATGATAACCACTATGAGGAAAATTCTAGAGAATAAGACAAGAATCCTGTTCTCTACAGACTTATAAATGCGATAGATAAATCTAAAAGTTCTTTATCTTTTTTTGAAACTCTTCTTTTGCTTACAGAAACCCAGCATATTCCAAACTAGTGATGTTTGTCCAGACAGAAATGAGAGGAAAATTATCCCCATCGCTAGTTGAAAAAGCCATACCTTCCAATTTAGTAAGTTTCATCGTCAATGCAAGAGATGGAATAAAGGCACAGAAAACTTCAACAGGACGTGGACTTCATCCTAAGAGTCATTCATACCTGAAGAAGAAATAAGGTCCATTCTGCTGTAAAATCATGTGTAGCAGTTACTACAGTTGATTTCTAAGTCAACATGTATAAATAGTTAAACTACTCTAGACAGTATTCTTATACAACTTACTGAAGATACTTTGTGAAAATAAGAACTCATGGTTGTACAAGAAGACAGCATTAGTTTTTAATTTCACCTAAAAATGATGTTAAATAACAAATGTTATTAATATGCTTTCACTTTTTGCTTTTGCCCCTGGAAAATGTTCTGTATAAGACTCAGTAAGAAAGCAGATACAGCCAGATAACAGCATTAATTAAAGATTAGAATACATTTTAAATTGTTTTTCTTTCACGTACTGTTTGAGAATTATAGGGAATAGGAACATAAAAATCAAAAAGAATTCCATTAGAATATATGACCAAAGACATTAAGAATTTACAATTGAATGAGTCATGAATCAGTTTCTGGTTGTGGCCAAGATGTGCTAGCCCATTCCTCCTAAATTTTTCCTCAGAATGTTAAACACTGGATTCTTCCATTTACATACCTTTTTTTTGAGACAGTCTCACTTTGTCACCCTCAATAGAGTGCCATGCTGTCACAGCTCCCAGCAACCTCAAACTCTTGTGCTTAAGCAATACTCTTGCCTCAGCCTCCCAAGTATCTGGGACTACATATGCCAGTCACAAGGCCTGACTATTTTTAGAGATGGGGGTCTTATTCTGGCTCAGGCTGGTCTCGAACCTGTGAGCTCAGGCAATCCACCCACCTCAGCCTCCCAAATGCTGAGATTACAGGAGTGAGCCACCTCACCCAGCTTTATATACCATTTTTTGTTGTTGTTGCAGTTTTGGGCCGGAGCTGGGTTTGAACCCACCACTTGCGGTGTGTGGGGCCAATGCCCTATTCCTTGAGCTACAGGCGCTGCCCATATATACCATTTTTGAAATGACAAAATGATCAAGATGAAGAACAGCATTAGTGGTTTCTGGGGTTGCGGGGTGAGGGCTGTGGCTTTGAAGGGGTGGCAGGAGGGATTCTGTGATAAACCTGTTCTGTGTATTAACTATGGTGGTCACATGAATCTATACATACAAGAAGATTGCATAGAATTAAACATACACACAAGCACATATAAAACTGTTTTATAAGTAAAGGCAGAGGATAGTATCAATGTCAATCTCCTAGTTGTGATAAGTTAGTTAGTGATGCAAAATATTACCATTGGGAGAAACTGGTATTATTTTGTATTATTTTTTACAACTGCATGCATATCTAGAATTATCTCAAACTAAAGTAGAAAAATCTATCCAAGCCAAAACAGTGAGTCACAAAACTATAAAGGTATCTTACAATTGACAGCATTTGTTTTCAAAAAATTTGATTTTTAATTATCCATCATATATATCATTAATTTGCCAATAAATAGTTGATGAATATGCATGATTTATATTTATTTGACATTATCCTTTACAAGCAATTTCTCTAGTCAAGATTTTCTAATCTCATTCTATGGACTGGAATTCTGGAATATTTAGCCCCAGGAAAGTCTGCTTTTATTCATAAACATTAAATATCAGACCATAAATCTAAAGGAGCACACATCTTTCTGGAATGGTAGCTTGAACAACTCTGATGTTTCACAGAAAATAATGTCAAAATTCAAGTATAAGAGGCCATAGAAACACCATTCCCATGAAGAATGATTAGATCTGGCCATGGCAAAGTCACTTCTGACTTCTCTAATGATCACCTTCTAGCTTCATACGTTTTATCTTCCAGCCTGCTTTGTGTGAGAGAGGATGGACAGAACCCTGGAGGGTGGGAGGGGCTGGCAAAGGGCAGGAGAACACAGTGGGGCAGAGGCTGGGAGGCCCAGGGAGACCCAGTGAATCAGCAGAGCGGCACATCACACCTGGAGGGAGGCTGTGCTTTCTGTGCCCAATTCCCTTTGTAAAACTCTCTGGATGCCAAGTGTTATTTTCCCTTTTCTCATACATTTTCAGAATACATAATTAAAGGCACAATTATACTGTGACTTAGAATTTGCCTAATTTGTGAATATGCCTCTTGTACTGTTTTTCCAATTTATACCGAACTCTTGGCAGAATATAAGCCTTTTAGCCTAAACTCCGCAATCACGCAAATCAATGAATTATACATTTTAATAGAATATATCTATTTTCCAAGAAAGACAAAATATATTGAGAGCAGAAAATTACTTTTCTCCATTTATGAGAAAATGAGATATTTAATTAACTTGTTTCATATTTAAGGTAAAAGTAAATAAAAAGGAAATACCAGGCACTGTATCTTTGATTCCTTCTCCTGGCCCTGTCATCATCTCTATACATTACAGTCTTTTGCCATTTCCATTACTTCTAAATAGGCATTTCAGAAGGTACCATACATGACAACAGAAATCCCATATCACAGAAAAGCCTGAAGGTAATAACTGACATCCAAATAATATGATAAAAATAATTCACTCATTCTGGTCTTAGATTTTTCTATAAATCTTTTTACAATCTTTCTTAACATATAGCTCTTCTAATAGTTTCAGATATTTAGACATTACTTGACTTTCCAAAATAAAAATGATATTAAGGAACCAGAATATTGGTTTTCATAGAGGGGAATATAACATGTTAGTTAGGAATACATTTGACTGCAAACAAAAATAATGACTTACAAGGGACATAAATGTTGAGAAGTTTATTGATCTTGCTCAAGAAGTCTGGGAGTCTGCAATGGTGCTAGATAATGCCGGTGGGGACCAACTTGGTGTTGCTATACTTAGCCTGTAGCTTCTGCCTTTCTGGTGGCACTGTCCCAGTGTTCTGGGTGAGAAGAAGAGTGGAACGAAAAAGGAAAAAAGATAATAGTTTATCTCTTGTTAACATAACTTTCTTGGAAGTGAAAATGCTTGCATCTTCCATTAGCCAGAAATAGAATACATGACTATACCTGATCGCACAGACTTCGGAAAAGATACTCTAGCATCTCAAGTAAAAAAGAAAAGAAGTTCCACTGGAATGCAGAAATAAAAAGTACAACTTCTAATTTATATCCATGTTTTCAAAAAGTCAATCTAGCCTTCTTAAGATATAATATGTAGCTTATTGACTTAATATGACTTAATATGACTCCAGGGCCTCACCTAGCCACTGATGAGAGGGTCTTGAGACATACAGCATAAAAGATGTTCTGAGGAATAAGGATGAGTTCCAAACGTGGAAGATTTGAAATTAGTTCTTGGCTTTCATTATATTTTGAAAAATTGAGTTTTCTATATAGGGGTGTGGTTAAGTGCATAAACTTTTAATGAAAAAATATCCTCAGAAAATGGAGAAATGAGTTTTAAAAATGTCTACAATGCAGATAAAACAAGAATAAAGCTGAAATTTTACTGGCATGAAATCTTTACAAAATTTGCAAAGTAAACAACAATAGCAATAAAGTTGAATCTTACAAGAAGCTAGCAAAAACCCGAAATTATCAAGACAATTTGGAGTATGAAATCAAACCTTCTATGTGCTAGCAATGAAAATGAACTTCATGCAAAATATCTTTCATGTATTGAGTTATTACCATGTTTCCCTGAAAATAAGACACTGTATTATATTTATTTGTTCTCAAGAAGACACACTAGGGCTTATTTTCAGGGGATGTCTTCCTCTCCATGCCAAAATGCATGGCATGGCTATGCAGCATATCTAGGTCTTAAGACCCATAACTAGGTCTTATTATCAGGGTAGGGCTTATATTTAACAAATGCATAGAAATCCTGCTAGGGCTTATTTTGGGGGTAGGTCCTATTTGGGGGGAAACACGGTATCTAATAATGGCAGTACACGTTTATAATTTTAAAATAAGTAAAAATACAAGTGCACTATTTAAATGCACATTTTGGACAAATAGCTGAATATATTGGCTCAGCACCTGTGGCTCAAGCAGCTAAGGCACCAGCCACATACACCTGAGCTGCCAGGTTCAAATCCAGCCCAGGCCCGCCAAACAACAGTGACAGCTGCAACCAAAAAATAGCCAGGCGTTGTGGCGGGTGCCTGTAGTCCCAGCTACTTGGGAGGCAGAGGCAGGAGAATTGCTTGAGCCCAGGAGTTGGAGGTTGCTGTAAGCTGTGATGCCACGACACTCTACCCAGGGCAACAGCTTGATGCTCTGTCTCAAAAAAAAAAGCTGAATATTTATATCAGTATTTAGGCAAACCAAAGCCAGCTTCTCTTATCACCATCACAGAATGAACTTGAATATAAGGATAAATCTGAAGTTCTATCCAAAAATATTTATTACTTTTTATTTTTTAAGAGTTTCTCACTCTGTCACCCTGTGTAGAGTGCTACAGTGTCAGAGCTCACAGCAACCTCAAACTACTGGGCTCAAGTGATTCTTACGCTTTAGCTTCCCGAGCAGCTGGGACTATAGACACCTGCCATAACACCTGGCTAGGTTTTCTATTTTAAGCAGAGACAGGGTCTCACTCTTGCTCAAGTGAGTCTTGAACTCATGAGATTAAGCAATCCACCCATCTGGAGTGCTAGGATTATAGGTGTGAGCCACCGCACTCAGACCTTATTTTTAAAAAATGAATAGTCAACATTTTGAAGTTTGATATTAGATTGCAGGGGAAAATAATTTCTCACAACTGTCCGCTACTGACACTAAATTGTACATCTTCATTACTATAAAACTCAACTTCAAGTGGTATGCCTAATGATATTACTAACTATTTTAGACATAAATTCTGGGGAAAGATTTTTCAGTTAAATGATTTCAAGAATAAACTTAGATTTAGGATTCATAGCTTTGGCAAATGTCAAAACTTCTTGGTCTTCACTTACCAAAAATGGTAGTCTACAATAAAACAGTTTTATAAGTTCTATTTAAAATGTTATCCTCCATTTAAAGACTATTGGGGACTTCATTGGTCAGAACAAAATTGGTTTTTTACTTAACACTCTTTTCATATACTGTATATGTTTCCTATAAATGAAGATGATTAGTTATGTTATCAAGTATAGCTGTATGATCATCAATTGCCACAACTGATATGTAATAGACTATCACAAAGCCAGCATACCAACAAGTAACGTTATTTTTTCTTTTAATTCTATGAGTTAGTGATTTAGGCTGGAATCAGCTGGGCTCACTCAGATCGCTGGCAATTGCTGTAGGTCATCTGAGAAAGGATGGTGTGGGCCGGGATAAGTGGGGTGACTTAGCTGTGCTTTGTGAATCTTGTCTTCTAGCAGCCTAGTCTGGATATAGTCTCAAAAAGAAGGCAAAGCGGGAGGGGAGGAAGAGGAAACACCGTAAACACCTTTCAAGTCTAACATCCCACTGGCAAAACACATGGTTAAACTCAATAAGCAAAAAAATAACATTTGATTTTTTATTAAAACTATAAAATCACATGGGAAAGGAGTGTGGATAGAAGAAAAGGTGAAGAATTGAGACCACTGATACAACTGATAATCCATTATCAATTAATGCAATTGATCTACCAGTTTAGCTTCTGGCTATAATCATAATCCTTCCACATCCAAAATATAAGTAGTTCCTTCTTATCCCTGGGGGATACATTCCATGACCCCTAGTGGGTGCCTGAAATTGCAGATAGGACCAAATCCTGACTATACTATGTTCTTTTTTTTCTATACATATATACCTATGATAAAGTTTAATTTATAAGTTAGGCACAGTAGAGATCAACAACTAATAATAAAATGGAGCAATAACACAACACACTGTAATAAAGTGACATGGATGTGGTCTCTCTCAAATTATCACTGTCCTGTACTCACCCTTCCTCATGATCTGTCCATCTGGTAACAAGGAGGGCTCCTCAGTGACTAAGTGCTAGCTTCTGCAGCATGGACATGCTGGACAAAGGGATGATTCACATCCCGGGAATTTATTTCTGGAATTGTCCACTTATTATTTTTGGATCACAGCTGACCATGAATAATTGATACCACAGAGAACAAAACCTTGGATGAAGGGGAGCACTCACTCCCAAGACCCCCAAAGAAAGGTCTCATACGAGATAGTATCTGTCTTTGAGTCTAGGATTTCACAATATATATGTAGGTCCCCATGTAACTCCTCTTGATCTAGAGAACTATGAAAATGAAAAGGAAAGTGACCTGCCCCCAACCTCAACATGTACCACATAAACAATACTAAGTACTCATACTGGAAAGGGGAAGAATGGGAAGAAAGCACATCGTCACCAGTTCACAATTCTGAACTCCCCGTGGGCTACCATTCTGGAAAATGGGAAAATGTTCCCCGTTAAATAAACCCCAATTCTCCTTTCTGGGAGTTGCTCCCTGACCTGCTGCTGTTCCCAGCTTTTGGTGATACTATCTGAGATGTCCTCCTCTTCTTCTCACCCTCCTTTATTCTTTCTAAAGAACCGATCGTTGTTAGCAGTTGAGTAACTTTCTCAGGCTGCTTCCTACCCAGATAAAGGGAGGGGCCCAGAGGCACTTGTATAGCTTGAGCTATCTCTTAGTCCAGACACTTGGTGTGTGCTAGTACCACTCCCCCTCAAACTTCTGAGCTTCCCATGTCTGATTACAGTGCACTGCACCCCCAAAACCCACACCTACAATGGGCATCCACACGCTTCTCCAGACTTCTTACCACTAACTTTTGGATCAGGCTCTTGAGGACCACACCCTCAAGCTTTCTTCTACCTCAGATCTACTCAGCACCCTCTTAACTCTCAGAGGTCTTAACACGTCTGATAGTGACAGCCTAGAGGTGATGTTTGACCTGTGGTATGTCTACTGAAGACTTTTTGCTAGCTGCAGAGAATACAAGTTTTACTCTCCAATTTAGTAGCTCCTCACTCCTCAACGTTACCTTTACCGTCTGCTTGCAAACTGGCCAGCTTGTTTTTTTAAAAGCTCCACTTTCTTTCTTACAGTTCTTTGATCCTATGTTGTGGAGAGTGCCACCAGGTGGCGCTTTCTACATTTTGCCTGCAAACCTGGGCAAAGACAGAATACCTTAGATTTTCCACTGTAACACAGGCAGCTATTTTTTTTTTTTAACCAAGTATTTTATAACCTCTTCTTAAAGCAATTTCATTGTCATTTTTCCAGCCTCTGCTGACAGTATTCTCAAGCCCCTACTTTCCAAAATCCAAAGCACCATGTAGTTTGGTTTTCTGTTGTGCAGTCCTCCACTTCTAGGTAGCAATTTTTGTAGCAGTTATCTCTGACTGAATTGATGCCACAAAACAAATAACCACATTTTTTTCCTGTTGACCCAGAAAGAATGTTTCATTATAAATTGATCTAGCTAATCCACTCTATCAGTATTCATAGTAACTGTCAATCTTTCTCTACTTAATAATTTTAAATTTGTTAATTTTTTGTACATACATAAAATAGGTTTCATAGTCATCAGTTACTTCAACATTTTTCTTTGCATTGATAATTGCAAATTATCAACGTGATTGATGGCATGTCAACAGACAGCTCGTAGATCTAATTAGGTAGAATGCGTATCACCTATGTTTGAAAATGACTATTCAGATGTTAATAATAAACCTGTATGTGATGCCTTGTGTGACTAGAATCATTAATGCTCATTAGATCTGACAGCAACTTACATGATTACATGATAATTTCATGCACAAATTGAAGCTGAAGTAACTACCTGATAACTATTTGATTAGACAGCCACCCAAAAGCCAAATGACTAAATTAGTTTGAATACCAAGGCTAAAGTTGAACTTTGGTGGATCATTAGTAAATATGCAGATATTGGGAGTGTCTGCCTCCAATTTTTTTTTTTCACTGCTAGGGTGTTACATCAAAAAAGATGGTAACACTGGGCTAGCAGACTATTACAGTCTGGCTAAACCTTCCGAAGATATATTGTGCTATCAACACCACCAATTTTTCTATCTCAACATATGGAGTCTGACAATTAAAAGTTTGAGAAATTGCCACCATGCGCTTACACTGGCAGCTTTGCACAAACAATTTAGGCTTCATAATGTTGGTATGTGTCTCAATGGCTGTAGTCATGTTGATGTGTGGTGGTGTCTCGTTCAGAGCTGTTTGTTACTGTTACTGCATTTCATTTGTGTGCCAGCACAGAATGTGAGAGCTTGAATTATAGTAATGAACATTCGTAAATTTCTTGCTAAACTTGGCAAGAGCAGAAGTGAAATCAGGGACATATTAGTCCAAGTTTATGGGGATAATGCCATGAAGAAAACCGCAAGTGTACAAATGGATTAAATGGTTTTCCTGAATAGAGAGAAACTTCACTGATAAAAAGACATCAGGGCATCCAGTAACAAGCAGAACTGCAGAAAACACTGCAAAATCATAAAATTGTGCATCAAAGTCATAAGCTGACTGTGAGAAGCAAAGAAGACCAAGTAAGCATCAATACAGAACAGATAGGAAAAGCTTAACGGAAAAAATCTGGGCCGACTCATTGCTCTTGCATTACAACAGTGCACCAGCTCACACAGAATTTCCCATTTGGCCATTTCCTAACTGGCTGTTATTTCTCGAGACATTCCATGGTTCAAAGAAAAAGTGTTCTTCACTATAGAATAGCACTTGGCTACCTATCCATCTATTTATTTATTTAAAGAATAAGGGTCTGGGCGGCACCTGTGACTCAAAGGAATAGGGCACCGGCCCCAAATGCCGGAGGTGGCAGGTTCAAACCCAGCCCCGGCTAAAAACTGCAAAATAAATAAATAAATGAATAAAAGAATAAGGGTCTCACTCTCTCACATAGGTTAGAATGCAATGGAGTGATCATAGTTCACTGCAGTCTTAACTCCTGGCCTCAAGTCATCCTGTGATATTTCTACCTCAGCCTCCCAGGTAGCTAGGACTACAGGCATCCACCACCACACCCAACTGTTTAAAGTAATTATTTTTTAGAGATAGGGTATTGCTGTTTCCCAGGTTAGTCTTCAATTCCCAACCTCAAGGGATCCTAACACTTCAGCCTCCCAAAGTTCTGGAATTACAGGAATGAGCTACTGTACCCGTTCTTTACCTATACATTGTCATCTATATCTCCCCCACAATTTATAAAAAAATGTACTAGTGGCTCGGTGCCTGTGGCTTAAGTGGCTAAGGTGCCAGCCACATACACCTAAGGTAGCGGGTTTGAATCCCCAGCCCAGGCCCGCCAAAAACAACAATGACCACTGCAACCAAAAAATAGCCGGGCGTTGTGGTGGGCGCCTGTGGTCCCAGCTACTTGGGAGGCTGAGGCAGGAGACTCACTTGAGCCCAGGAGTTGGAGGTTGCTGTGAGCTATGATGCCACAGCACAGGGGGACAGCTTGAGGCTCTCTCTCAAAAAAAAAAAAAATGTACTAGTAATGACCATGATATTCTTTTTATTGAAAAGCAATGTAAAATAGCTTTAGAAATAAAGGAAGATAATATTTTACATTATTTGTCATGAACATTTTTATGCATTGTGCCAGAATTTACTTCCCCCAACTATCTTTGCTTTATCTGAAACATTTCACATTTGTTTAACATATTATTTAATATATTTTAATTATTTAATATATATTAGTGTTTAATTTAGAGGTGCTTAATAAACTGTTAATCTTAGAACAATAGCACTCCCTTTGCTTGACGTTTCTTCTGAACATGCTTATTTATGTACAATGGGGAAATCTGGTCCCCGTCTCTTCCATTCAGCCAACAGTTCCATCTGTACGTCCTCTGGTAGTTCATAGAAAACTTGAGGATCGATGTCAGAAGGAAAAGTGATTTTCTCATCAAATGAATCCTGCTCTCTATTTTCTGTAAGTCCTTCATGATGAGAGGCCATTGTTTGCTTATGACAATTACCTGCAGTTTGGTTTTTGGAGAAAAGCTGCTCACTCTGCAAATTTGGAAGTGAATGGAAAACAGATACAGCAGGGTTTGTATTTGGAAGTTGGAATCTTTGAGGCTCTTTAGGTCCTTGACTCATTCGTTCACCTTTTAATCTATTATCTAAATAATATGAATAATCCTTTTGGCTAGAGCGATAAGATGAACTACTGCTATTTAAGCCTGATGTTCCAGGTTCACAAGAAGATACAGAGGATGCCTGTTTGCTACTGAATAAGGGATTTCTAGGATTTATGGGACTATCTTGTGTTCGTTTTGGAGAAAAGAAAGACAATACTCCTCTAGAGGCATGTAATGGACAACTCAAATTTTCTTTCCCTTGAAATTTTTCTCTACATTTTTCAGATAGGATTTCTTCTTGAATATCTACTGGAAGCTGCTTGAAGACTTCTTGGTCAACACCCTCAGGAAGTGAACACAGTGCAGATTCATTATTATCTTTTCCTTTAGAAAAATCTGTAGTATCTAATGGAGACTCCTCAGTCTTTGTACTTTCGATTTTTCCACTTTGTAGAAAATCATGGTTTATTTCTTTATCTTTGGAAAAATCTTCCATGTGCGTGTCTTTCATTTTCTAAAACACAAAGATAACAGAATAATTTAGGAATCTGCCATCTTTTAAATATCTGTGCTGCTAAGTGTGCCTATCCTGTAGCTATCATCTGACAACATGCTTCCATCCTACTCAACAACTTCAATCCTTGTGGCCATTTCCAAACAACTTGAGATCCCCCTTCACAATTAGTCACACTGTTGTGTGGATTTTTGTTCACTATTCCAAGAAGAGGGTTCCTTCCTACATAACAAACCAGAAGTAAATAGACATCTGGAGACCTGGGTAGATCATAACAATCATGTAGCCAAATTCTGTAAATACAAGAATGGTAGACTAGAAAAAGTAAGTTATTTACCAAAGGGTATGTTTTTAAAAATACACACATGGAGTATCAGGGTCTAGTATCCCATATATTACTATTCTATAGGGCAATATTTAACAGAAAGAAAAAGTTTTTATAGTAAAAACTCAACATCATGAAGCTATAACACTATTTTACATTTACATAAAATAAAAATTTAAAAATACCTTCAGTGCTAACTTACATAATTTTTCTACATAAAGTTTTTTATTTAAATCTCCCCTCTAACTTTAGGCACCATAGAAAGGTAAATATAGTCACATCAACGTGATATTAACTTAAAAAAAGTAAAAGGAGTAGAAGAGATTGAGCACCAACTGTATGCCAAAAACATGCAAGGTAATTTTACTTACATTTACTTCTCTATTGAACTGTAAATTAAGACCTTTAATTCCCATTCCACAGATTAATTAAAATGCAAAATATAAACACCTTTTAAAATGTAATAAATGGCATAAAAAGGGTCACAGAGAAAAGTAATTTGAAAACAATATTAATTTGCTATTTTTATAATACTATTCTTGCTTTAAACTTAAATGGAAATAGGAATATTAGTAAAATTACTGACTAAACAATAAAAAATGAGGAAAATAAAAATATTTCAAATTAAGAGTTAATCATAAACACTCATAATTTAGCAAAATGTGATTATTTTCTAAGACATCCTACATTTACAAGAGGTTCACATGTACAGTAAATGGGTTTTGTTATCGTCATTTAAAAATGTGATTAGCCTTTGCCTCTCTATTACCACACTGTTAATTTTACACCTGTAAAATCAGTAGTGAATTCTATCAATATTCAACATACTGAATATTGAATTCAACATAATTTCAAAACCAAGAAAATTTAAATACTTTAACAAAAAAATTCTGGGAAGGGTACTAGTAGCTTATGTATAAACTGACAGATAAAAAGATTTAATTTCTAATATCTGAAATATTTTCATATTTATGAGCTAATCTATCATATCCCTATATATTCTTATAAAAATGTTTTAACACTTCCAACATAGGATAGCTCCATAATGATTTTCACTTTTATTCAGTGAAGTTTATTTTTCTTTTTAGATCACAGCATATTTAAGGCCTGTCTCTATAATATGATCAATACTATAAACAAATAAATTACCTGAACAGTATCACAATATATTTAAGGCCAGCAATCATAACATGATAGATCCTATAAACAAGTGAATCATCCAAACAACTTCACCCAAAACAATCTCTAAACCGCACCAGTTAAACACTAACTTAGATTTGTAATTTAATCACGCAGATCCAGTAAGAAGTGTGCTTAGAAAGCCTAACCAAAGAGTATACTTACAAAACCATGCTTGTCAGGGTGTGAAGTTGTTGATAATGATGGCATTAAATAATAATCAATAGACCCCTTCTTAGCAGCATTTGATGCTTTCAGGTTGCAGAAGCACACATTTAGAAGGGTAAGGTGAAATGGCATCTTCACATTCACCATATTTCGAAAAAGTTTCATAAGTATATCAATCATTGGGGTCATCACATCAGAATTTCCTAAATAAAATATATAAGAAGATTATACCTAACATATATGATAATTAACACAAAGAGCTTAATATAATTTAGATTGCTTAGATTTAGATATTAGAATCCTAAATAAGTATCATAGGGCATCTAAACATTATATACTAAACTAGGACATTTCAACATTAATAATAAATGACAAATAGGTTAAAAGTTTCCACAAGATTAAAATATGTGACTTTCTGGTTATGGTAGAGTGATGTGGTAAGAAAATCCTCTCTCTAAAAAGCTACTATAAAACTGTCAAAAACAACCATTTTGGGAATCTGGAAATGAATCAAAAGCAAACAAAGTGAGAAGCACTGATTTATAAAAAGCTGCTAGTTGTCAGGTAAAGTAGGAGACAATAGCCTCACTGGCTGGGACTGTTGTGATGCCCCCTTACATAGCTGGGTTGGTATAAAAAAGCCAGCAGCTTCCCTGCCGGAGGGAGGGAACACACCTCATCTGAGGCAGAGAGGAAAAGCCCACACTCGGTGGTGTTGTCAGTAAAATGAGCAAAGCTGGTAGAAAATGAATGAGGAAATCCCACAACTGAGTGAACGATAAGTGAACATGCCAGAAACTTAACCCGGAGATCTGGAAATGACAGAACCACAGAGGAATAGATGAGCTCTCCTCACAACCCTAGCTGACTGGGAGACCGATTTCATGCATATGGAGCAGAGCCAGAGAGGACCTAAGCTCTCCGCACTCTCCTGGCTGAAATGCCTACATGCACACCCAGGAGATGCACAACACAGCCTGCTAGAAAATAAAAGTTAAGGCAGACTTGAAAATGGTCTAAATTTCTGAGGTGCTTTCCCAGTGGCAGAGGATGGAAGGCTTCCAGGCTCTAGGTTTGAGCAAAACCTTTGACCAGTGTTTGGCTAATCACTGAACTACACAGACACAGACAACTCCCTGGGCAGCCAAAATAGAAAATAAAAATTTGAGTTAAAAAATAAAACTAAGCACAGAAATCAGTGGCCACACAACACAGAAGAGGTAGATTTTAAAGATTAGATTTAGACAAATCACCAAAAAAAGGGGAAAAAACCTACAGAAAAAAAAAATCTAAATTCAAAGTTGCTACATAATCTTAAATGTCTAGTTTTCAATAAAATAACTCAAAACATACAGAAAAACAGCAAGGTGTGATCCGTACTGGGGTGGGGGGAGGAGAATAGTCAACATAAATTGACTGTAAGTTGGATTTAGCAAAGACTTTGAAGTTGCCAGAATAGATGAGGTGATGGGAGTCTTACAAGGAAAAGGCCAGGGTGGGCGTGGGGAGACAAAAACTCCCCCAATTCCATTTTAAAGTAACATCAATCCACAGAATCAAAAAGCTCAGTGGATCCCAGGTAGGATAAACACAAAGAGATTTCACACTTAGACATGTCTGTCATAAACTGCTGATAGACAAAGACAGAAAGATAAATGACTTATCACATAAAGGAAAATAACAATACAATATGGCTGTTAATTTGCCATCTCTCAGCTCCAAAGTCACCCTTCCTATTTGCTTTGCAATTATAGACTGGACTCCTTAAAAATTTTTGTAATGACCACGATGTTAAACTTCAATAGTGGAGTGCACTGGAGGAGGTGGCAGCTTGTCTTACTGGCTCCAATTTACTGCCATTTACTTTTACTCCCCTTGCATGGTCTATTTGCAGTGTGGGGACATCCAGCAGGGATCTGCCACATCACACACATGTACAACTGTGTAGTCCCTCAGCAATCTTAAGCCCCAGGCCTGGTGGTCACCTTATCATGGCCCTTCCAACTCAAATACTACAATGCTCCAGACCAGTACTATAAATACACCCCAGCTCCCTCTGCCTGCCCTCCCAAAAGGCTCAACTTGCCTCCAGCATTGTTTCCTCCAGCCCTTCCTATGTAGGCAATCATGCCCTCTATCTCTGAGCTGATAGCATTACCACCCTTTAGTCTCAATTTGCCTGCATACTACAGGGTTGTTTCTAGAAGCTTCCCAATATGGAAGACCCAGCTCATGTGTGGCCCTGGCCAATGAGCAAGTGTCCAACATCATGATTCCTTGTGTGCCCAACCACAAGCCTCAGCTCATCCATAGACGCATAGCAACTTTGGGTCAGCTCCAGGCCAGTAACTCACTGAATGTCTCCATCATTCAGTGCTCTGCAACCACGTCTTCTTGTGGAAAGGAGTCTTTCCTTTCAAGTTTGCCTTTCCTTGGATATTTTTCCTCAGCTTTAGGACGCCCTTTAGAGTTCTCTTTATACCTTTACAGTCACTCCCCTATCATAATAATCCTTTATTTGAAACTTTCCCTATTCAAATTCTTTTCCTTTTTTTTTTGAGACAGAGTCTCAAGTTGTCATCCTGTCCTAGGTAGAGTGCTGTGGCGTCATAGCTCACAGAAACCTCCAACTTGGGCTCAAGCAATCCTTTTGCCTCAGTTTTTTTTTTTTTTTTTTATCTACTTTTAGTAGAGACAGGGGGTCTTACTTTTCCTCAGGCTAGTCTTGAACTCATAAGCTCAAGCAATCCATCCACCTTGGCCTCCCAGAGTGCTGGGATTATAGGTGTGAGACACTAAGCCCAGCCCCTATTCAAATTCTTGTGTGGTTACTCTCTCCTGATTGGAAGGAGACTAAAAACACTATTATTAGCTAACTCTGTATCAGTAATAATGGAAACCAAAAGATAGTGAAATGACATATTCAAAGTATGGAAAGAAAAACACTGTCCTGAATTAATATATCCAGCCAAATTGTCGTTCAATAAAGTACTGTTTTGGTGGAGTGCCCCGTATGTTTTAGTTAAGTTGCTTGATACTATTGTTCAACTCTTCAAAAACAAACAGAACATTCTCCAGGATAAATGATATGCTAGGCCATAAAATAAGTTTTAATAAATATTAAAAGACTGAAATTATTCAAAGTATTTCTCTGATCAATATGACATTAAATTAGAAATCAACAACAGAAAAAGGTTTGGAAAATTATAAAATACTTGGAAATTAAATAACAAATTTCTAAACAAGGTTGGAGGTCAAAAAAGAATTTACAAGACATTATCAGAGGGTTCTTCTGATTCCTCCATTTTGAGCTTAATGAAAGATAAACACTACAAAATTCATGGGATATATGGAATAATAGAAAACTGTAGACTCCAAAAAGGAGGATGAGAGGGGAGTGTGGGACTAAAACTATCTAAAGGGTATATATATACATTATTTGGGTGATGGGTATACTACAAGCCCAGACTTCACTGCACAACATATACAAGTGACAAAAATGTACTTGTACCCACTAAACTTATAAAAATAAATATTTTTTCAAATACAGCTAAAGCATTACTTACTAAACTTCACTTAGTAGAGAAGAAGTATAATGCTCACCTTAAGAAACCGAGAGAAAAAGGCAAGTTAATCTTAAAGAAAGCAGAAATAGAAAAATAATAAAAATCAGAGCAGAAATAAACGAAATAAAAAATAGAAAAAGAACAGAAATGCCACTGAATGATGGATCTTGACAGAAATCCTACTGATAAGTCTTTGCTAGAATGACAAGGAAATCAGGAATGAAAAAGAGAATAATACTATAGACCCTACAAAAATTAAAAGTATTAAAGCGAATATTAACTTCATGCCAACAAGTGAAGCAACTTGGATGAAATGCAGAAATTACTAGAAGACAAAACTGACTCCAAAAAACCAAAAAATGTGAACAGATGTCTAAAAAATAAATAAATTATTATTTTAAAATCTTTCTAAACAAAAGTCCAGGACTATAAATAGCCAAAACAATTTTCTGAAAAAGAACAAAGCTAGAGAACTTGAACTACCTAATTTCAAAATGTACAGTAACCAAAACAGGGCAGAATAGGTATAAGGATAAACATATAGATCAATGAAACAAGAAAATCAAGAAATGAAATTTTATATTTATTGTTCATAAATTTTTGACAAAGATGCCCTACCAATTCAAGGGATAAAATATAGTCCTTTTTATTTTTTGCTGGCTGTGGGCACTCATGCCTGTAATCCCAGCACTGTGGGAGGATGAGAAGGGAGAATTGCTTGAGATCAGGAGTTTGAGACTTGTCTGAATGAGAGTGAGACCCCAACTCATTTAAAAAACAAACAAACAAACAAACAAAAACAACCAGCTGGGCACCACACTGCGGCCAGCACCTGTAATCCCAGCAGCTTCTGGTGCTTGAGGCAGAGGGATACCCACAGCCCAAGTCTGAGGTTGCAGTGAGCTATGATGCCTTTGCACTCTGCTCAGGTCATAGGGTGGGATTCTGTCTCAACAACAACAACAACAAAAAAAAAAAAGCAAGAAAATAAAAACAAAAAAGGAGCAAGGAAATAAAAAATAGTCTTTTGAACAAATGCTACTGGAATAACTGGATGTCCACATACCTTACACCACACATAAAGAATTAACTCAAAATTAACCCAAATATAAAACTTAAAACTATAAACCAAAGAGAAAATGTCTGTGACCTTTAAGTTAGGCAAAGAATTTTTAGATATGAAACTAAAGCCCTACCCACAAAAGAAAAACCACACCACCATCAGCAACTGTAATTAAAGGGTACTAATAACACCAAATGGTGGGGAAGATATGAAAAACTGGCACCTTCATACGCTGCTGGTGAGAACGTAAACTGCTAACAACAGCTTTGGGGAAAAGTTTGGCAGTTTCTTAAACAGTTCATCTTGTCATATGACCCAGTAATTCTTTGCAATCTACTCAATGAAAACATATAGCCACCCAATGATTTACACACAGATGTTCATTTTTTCTTTTCTTTTCTTTTTTTTTTTTTTTTGAGACAGAGTCTCACTGTCACACTGGAGAGAGTACCAGGGCATCATCATAGCTCATAGCAACCTCAAACTTCTGGGCTCAAGAGTTTCTCAGTTTTTCTATTTTTAGTAGAGACAGAGCCTTGCCTTTGCTCAGGCTGGTATCAAACTCCTGAGCTCCAACAACCCACCCACCTCGGCTTCCCAGAGTGCTAGGATTACCGGCATGAGCCACCACGCCCAGCCACAGCAACGTTTTTACTAACAGCTCCAAAACGGAAACAACCTAAATGTCCATGAAGAAGTTATCTCATACCCCATAATTATCATAGTTTTGTTTTCTTTGAACTAGGGAAACATTCTTAACTGAATATTTACTTTTATTATCTATTTTAAAATAGTGACAAAGCATTTTTGTAGTAAAAATGCCTGATAGAATAAAAATTTTAATTTCTCACTAACTACCTGTAAACACTCTACATTTTAGGAGAATCTTTCTAATTCTAAGTTTATTTTTTTCAACCTGCTAATAAAAATTTTTTTTTCCTTCATGGTACATACTACATGTAATCCTGTATGCCAATAAAATCTTAGAAAACTAGTCCATACCTCTTCCTAATTTCTGAATTACATGGGAAGGAATAGGGCACTGACGACTCTCACGACTACAGTACTTCTCAGATGAATATCGACGGAGTGTTAATCTTACTGTGTGGGGTTTCCTTCCATCTTGGCATACTCTACAAAAAGAGAAAATAGAAATAAGAAATTAGAAAAGGTATAAGACTTTTTAAAATAGTACAACAAACACCTTATTTACCTACAGGTGTCCTATATAACTAACAATTATGCACGCAGTAGATAACTAAATAGTAGGTTCTTGAATGCCCAAATAAGTATCAACCAAGTCTATGTACTAATGCTCTGAAATTTTAAATGTAAGGATCTCAGGCCTTACTCAGAATTGAGTATTCTCAGAAACAAAACAGAAAGAAGACATAATTTAACAAACTGTTTTATAATCCAAAACATAACTAAAAGCAACAAGTTAAAATTGATAAGAAATTTAAGAACTGAGAGAATCATTCACTAACAGAAGAAAATAAAAGAAAAGTACCAAAAGTTTTTTGTAACTTTTTTCTTATAAAATGAGATTACAAAAAGAAATACTTTTTGCAGAACAGGATCACTTTTGTTAAAGTCAAGAGCACTGCTCAAATCCAAGAGAGCCAGAAATTCCACCCTACATCATGGCATAGTAGAGCAATACCTTGAAAGATCAATTACATACCATATTTAGGAAGGTCAGAAGATATATATGCACCTTAGGAGATCCCTCCAAATGGTCTTGGTTTTAGTGTTGAAATAAATGTTTTAATGATTTGAAAAGCAGAAAAATCTAATTACTGGAAAAACTAACCGTATTTAACTCAAACATAAAATGCAAATACTGCACGTTGTTAAACATATTTAACTTGTAGATTTCGAATTGGTAAAATTCATTCTGTAGTTAAATAATTTTTTACTATCTCTTACTGCTTTATCACAAAACTTATTCATTGATGGCTATTTAAGATAACAAAATATCTTAAATGCTTCCTATAAATAAGTTATTGGTTTAAATACCTTCCAGTTAAACTTGTTCTATTAATTATGCAATTCAAAGAATGTGATATGCTAATTAAGACTCATTAGAAAAAGGTTGTATCATAAGCAATCTTAAACTAGTACCTAGCGGAATGATTACAACCTCATGGTTTTACACTTCTTATATGCTTACAGTATTAATCATCATATACTCTAAAGAAAAAAATAATTATACATACATACACGTATCTAATTATTTTTTTGCCAGTCACTTAGATGGGAATGCATTTCAGTCACTGAAATAAGGGGCCATGGTGTGGGAAAGGAAACTGACAAGCTGCAATATGGATTCACAGTTGATACCTCACAGTTCACAGGGTCAGTCACTTCTGGGTTCATTCTTCAAGTAAGAGAACCTGTGAAACTTACACTTCTTGTGGTTTCTCTATGTGAAGAACTGTTTCCAATGGCTAGGCATTTCTGAGCAGCCTTCCATTTAGCTGAAGCACAGCAAATGACCCAGTTTCACTAGCATACTCGCAGTCCCAACCTGAGTCATATTGCTGGAACCTGGCCATACAGCCAGTCCCACGGCATGCAGCCAACAGTCAGCTGCAGAGCTCTGCTCAAGACCTGAGCAACACAGTACATGTGACAGCAAAGCTGTATGAAATTTTACTTCATCAGTTTTCTGAGACTTGGAGCTATTCAAAATCCATTTTTTCTTTTGAGACAGAGTCTCACTCTGTTGCCCTGGATAGAGTGCCGTGGGTCATACCTCACAACAACCTCCAACTCTGGGGCTCTGGCGATCCTTCTGCCTCAGCCTCTCGAGTAGCTGAAACTACAGGTGCCCACCATGACACCCAGGTAGTTTTTTCCTATTTTTAGTAGAGATGGGGTCTCACTCTGGCTCAGACTGGTCTCAAACTCCTGAACTCAAGCCATCCACCCACCTCAGCTTCTCTGAGTTCTAGGATTACAGGTATGAGCCACCATGCCTGGTCCAAAATCTATTTTTTGTAGATACAGTTAGCCCTACTAGAATCATCAGAGAAGCACACATACTCTGTTAGACCTTGATACCCCAATTTGAGAAATTCCTAACAAGAAAAAAAGAATCAAAGAAAAGAAAAAGAGATAACTTTTTTTTTGTGGAGTATTGAGAAATACAGGTGTGATACCTGCTAATGAGCATCAAAAAACGTTCTCGTCCAGTTTATATTATGCTGTTTATATATCCACAAGCCCCACGCCTCCAGGTACCTACAGATGAGAACCCCTGCACACACCGCTCACACACAGCCCCACTTTGCCATTCCTTCCTGACACCACATCCTCTCACACAGTCTGAGGGAAAGGAGATATAAGGGTCCTTCTGCTTCCTCCATCATTGCTGCTTTAATAATGTCTTATCCTCAACCATCACAAATTTATATACCTGTTCCTAGATATAGAGTTTTTAAGTTATGGCAGAATTATTCCTTTGACTTTTTAATCTCTTACTGAAATGCAAGTTAACTATTAGGCACTGGCTTTGCAATTTAGACAGGGAAAAATTAAAACCTCTTTCTTCTCATCAAAGGACTAGAATAGCCCTAGGATTATTACAGATATCCATAAACCTCCTTTAGATAATTCTCTGAGGCTTAAAGATCCATAGTATAATCCGTATTACTGAAATTAACAACACTAGTCTACAATTCAGACAAATCCCATGATAAATGATCTATCTGAAATTGTTTAGTCTCTAGTTAATCTGTAAATTCCAAGATAAGAAGTATTAAATGAATATAGAGGATGACTTGGCAAAATGGATTGAAAATTACCTGTTCAGATTTAAACTTAAGACATGAAACTATGAAAATACTAGAAGAAAGTATAGGGAAAACACTTGAAGAAATCGGCTTGGGCAAAAATTTTATGAGGAGGACCCCTCAGGCAATTGAAGCAATGTCAAAAATACACTTTGGGGACCGGATCACACTAAAGAGTTTCTGCACAGCCAAGAACACAGTAAAAAAGCAGGTAGACAGCCCTCAGAATGGGAGAAGATATTTGCTGGTTATGTCTCTGACAAAGGTTTAATAACCAGAATCCATAGAGAACTCAAACGTATTAGCAAAAAAAAAACAAAAAACAAAAAAAACCAAGCGATCCCATCTCAGGGTGGGCCAGGGACTGGAATAGAAATTTCTCTAAAGAAGAGAGGTGCATGGCCTACAGATATATGAAAAAATGCTCTCCATCCTTAATCATCAGAGAAATGCAAATCAAAACTATTTTGAGGTACCACCTAACCCCAGTGAGATTAGCCCATATCACAAAATCCCAAAACCAGAGATGTTGGCGTGGATGTGGAGAAAAGGGAACACTTCTATACTGCTGATGGGAATGCAAATTAACTCGTTCTTTTTAGAAAGACATCTGGAGAACACTGAGAGAACTAAGAATAGACCTGCCATTTGATCCTGCAATTCCTTTATTAGGATATATCCAGAAGACCAAAAATCGAATTACAATAAAGATATTTGTATCAGAATGTTTATTGCAGCCCAATTCATAATTGCTAGGTCATGGAAGAAACCCAAATGCCCATCGACCCACGAATGGATCAATAAATTGTGGTACATGTACACCATGGAATACTATGCAGCCCTAAAGAAGGATGGAGACTTTACCTCCTTCATGTTTATATGGATGGAATTGGAAAATGTTCTTCTTAGCAAAGTATCTCAAGAATGGAAGAAAAAGTATCCAATGTACACAGCCTTATTTTGAAACTAATTCATAGCTTTTATAGGAATGTCATAACCTAATTATAGCCTTAGAATATGGGAAGGGGGGGGGGGGGGGGGTGGGGGGGATGGATGGGGGAGGGAGGGAGATTAGTGGGGTCACCTCTATGGTTTATCTTACAAGGGTACAAGTGAATCTTTCTAAAAGCAGAGTATGAACGTTTTAACTCAATAACTAAGAAAATGACATGAAGGTTATCTTGCCCACTTTGATGAGAGTATTTCATAATGTACATGAAAACAGCATACTGTACCCCATGATTGCATTAATGTACACAGTTATGCTATAAGAAATTTAAAAAAAAGAAAGAAAATTACCTGTTCAAAAGACTAGCAAGTAGTTCTTCAATCTTTTTTTTGGCTTCAACTTCTGATGAACATTTTTTAAATGAATCTTCTTCACTAAAGGACTACCAAAGAAGTGTAAATAAAACTTAATGTAAACTCAAATATTCAACTATTAACAGTGTGTATGTCCGATATTCAATACACTCTTTACTAACTTATCTCTTTAACTTAGTTTGAGGCATTTATTTCATTCATATTAGCTATTTTCAATCTGCAAGTTATTGTAGCCCACTAGAAAGTGTACTGGATGTCAGGAAAATTATAAAGCTCTAGTACCAACTCCAAGCTTTATTTTTTATGATAAAAGCAAAGCTCTTAGCCCTCTAGAACTTGAATCTGAGCTTATCCTTAGATAAGTTGTTTTAACCTTTTCAAAGTATAGTATCCTCATCTTAAAAAAAAAGAAAAGGAAAAAGAAAAAGGAAGGAAGAAGTAAACAATGGTACTACCTACCTCAAAGGTTGGTTATGAAGAGTAAATGGACAAGTGTACATGAAGCACTTAGTAAAGTGCTTGTCATAAAGGAAGAAAATCCTTTAGTGTTAACTGGGTGATTATGCCCTTCCCCATTTCCTAAATCATTGGACTACTCTAAAAAAGAGAATTCTAAAAGATTATAAGCCATTAAAATTAAGTTGTACCATATCCAATCTAAGTAGCTAACCTGAAGCTTAAAAATATTAATGCTTAAAGTTCAATTTAATAGTACTTATTAATCTGATATAATAAAGTAGCCCTCCCATAGAAAATGGATTATATGTTAACCTAACAGAATAGTAAGAACATGGTACTAAATGTAGAAATTTTTATCACAAATAATGTAATAATCAGTACTCAGTTAAGATAAATGTCACCATGTACCTGAGGTGGTCCTGAGGGTGTCACAGGAGAGTTATCCTCTCCAAAACTGAGCTTCTGGATATGGTGAGCAACTGACATCCCTAATTCTTTTACTAATATTTTAGAGGAGCAGGTTTGGAGATCATGCACACTATTGATGCCCAGGGCTTCAAGACGTTTGGTAGTTTTATAGCCAATACCTAAATAAAAATAAATATGTATAGAGTTACAATAGCTTTTCTCCTTAAAATAATGCTAATTAAAATATTATAAATATATTAATTTATATTAAAGTCATATCTTTAAGTTCTATAATTAATACAGTAGTCTCCACTTATCCAAGTGGATACTTCCCAAGACCCTCAATAGATTCCTGAAATCTATGTTTTTCCCCTTACACTACACACCTGTTCAAAGTTTAACTTACAAATTAGGCACAGTAAGAGGTTAACAATAATAAGTAAAAATGAAATGGAAAAAGTATAATAATACACCACAATAAAAGTTACGTGAATGTAGTCTCTCTCTCTCTCTCTAAATACTTTACTATTTTCAAACCATGGCTGACTACATGTAACTTAAACTGAGGAAAGAGAAACCACAGATAAGTAGGGACTATAGTTATTTTGCTAAGATCAAATGCCATTGTAAACTAGGTTGCTATTCTTCTACTCAGGGCCTGGAGTTATATGTACCTCTCTGAACCTCTGATAACATGTATAATATAATGAATACAGGGATAGCCAATAAATGCATTCTTGCTAAAATGAAAATTTTACCACCTATTCTATAATGTTACAGAAGTAATTCAGGAGTCGTGATTATTAATGTAAAAAAAGATTGTCATTAGAGCAATTTAAATTAATTAATGTGTACTTATTAGGTAACCTATTAGATTGATTCCTATATACAACACCAAACATTCATCCACAAGTCACATCCAGCAATATTTACCACTCAGAATGCAACTAAAACCCAGAAAGCAAACAATAAAAAAATCTTACAAGCAAAATTCCTAACATAAAATTTTTGTACTAACTCAATAATACTTTATTCACTAGAGAAAATACTCAAGCCAATTAGCATCTCTTTATTAATTTCATTTTTAAAAAACTATAGTTATCTGGTTTTCTTATGCAGTTTAGGCCATAAGTCAGAGAAGATGAGTGTATGGGGGGTATTATTAAAGCAAAATGCCAGTTATTTTCACAGAAGAAATTTTAAAAGGTCGGCCATTTGGCAATAAAGGAGAAAGTAGAAAGCCTGGGGGGAGGGGAAGGATACAAGAATTCAAAAGGAAAGCCAAGAAGAATATTTGCATCAGTATACAGTCCTCAGTTTATTATAACCTGACACTGTCCTTCAGTCATTCAAAAAACTTCAAATTATACTATACTAAGGAAGGCAAGGCGGTATATAATACATTTTGTAATCACAAAAACATGGGTTAAAACTGCAAAGTTATGACATCTAAAAGACAGATTTTCAGTTGTCTTAGAATGTATTTCCACAGAATTCTTTTGTAACATCTTATTCCCTGGTAATAACATAGAAATCAAGTTCAACATATCCTTTATTGATGGTCTATAAAAACAAAAGTATTTGCTCTTCAAAGATACAAGCTTGCCCCTGACCTAAACAGGTCACTAAACCCCTCAAGGAAATCCACTTCTTCATCTTTAAAATGAAGAACTTGGCATAGATGTTTTGGAAGGTCCACTGCAGTCCTGACATTTTATATATAATCTCAAAAGAAAGTGACTAAAAGACAAATTCCCAGCTCGGCGCCTGTGGCTCAAGCGGCTAAGGCACCAGCCACATACACCAGAGCAGGCAGGTTCGAATCCAGCCCGGGCCTGCCACACAACAATGACAACTACAACCAAAACATAGCTGAGCGTTGTGGCGGGCACCTGTATTCCCAGCCGAGGCAAATGAATCGCTTAAGCCCAGGAGTTGGAGGTTGCTGTGAGCTATGATGGCACAGCACTTTACCCAGGGCGACAGCTTGAGGCTCTGTCTCAAAAAAAAAAGACAAATTCCCCTCTCCAGATGCAACGGACAGTGTAAGAGTATGAACACGGGACTAGAAATAAAGGACCATGTGTTTCTATGTTGTAATTTTTATGATCATACTCTAACTATTCAAAAGTAGGTTAAACTAGAATAGTACTTCCACATATTTCCAAATACAGGTTGTTCCAGAAAACATAATTTTTTGGTTTTCTCCAAGTATATATGTCTAAGAATCAATTATACTGTATTTATAACTTTTAAAATTAAAAAATACAATAAAACCAATATATACTTTTTATATATAATTGTCTTACCAGGTATTTCCTTTATGTGGTTCAAACTGTGAATAAGATCTTGACAACTCTCAGGTAATAATACTGTTTGCTGATTTGGTTTAAAGATGCCAGAAACTAATTTTGCCAATAGTTTATTAGAAGCTACTCCAGCACAGCCAGTGAGCCCCAACTGATTATACATGGCTTCCCGCATCTCTGCTGCAATCTGAGATCCAACAAGTAGCCTGACGTGCAAGATGTCATCCAGGTTTATACCTATAAAAACAGTGAATGTTGTCAAAAGTCACAACAAAAAATTTTAATTTTCTTTCCTATAAAAAAGTTTTAAAAGGTGTGGGCTTAGTCCATCTATATCCCAAATCCTACCACCACCATCACCATCACTGCCTCTGCCATCATCACTACCTGCTATGGTTTAGATGTCTGTCCCTTCCAAACCTTCTGTTGAAATTTAATCTCCAAAGTTGGGAGTGGAGCCTAATGGGTCACAAGGGTAGATCCCTCATGAATAGATTAATGCCCTCCCTCAGGGGTGACTGAGATCTCACTCTGTTAGTTCCCAGCTGGTTGTTTAAAAGCGGCTGGCATTCCCGACCCCCCACCTTGCTTCCTCCCTCCTCGTGTGATCTCTGTACACACAAGCTCCTCTTTATGCTCCATGAATGGAAGCAGCCTGAGGCCCTCACCAGATGCAAACCCCAATCTTGAACTTTCCAGCCATTAGAATCATGAACCAAATACACCTTTTTTCTTTATAAATTACCTTAGTCTCAGGTGTTCTGTTATAGAAACACAAAACAGACTAAGAGATCACCACCACCCTGTTACACACTTGACTGATCTCTTTCATTCTTTATGGGAATACTGTAAAGTAAACAAATATAAGTGAATTCCAAGGGCCTATAATAGCAAATATACTGGGCATGCTTAATAATAAGCAAATTATGAAAACTGATTTCATAAATATTCCTACTGATATTAGCAGGAATCTGTCTGTAAGTAAGCATAAAAGTATCATCGTATAGTAAGAAAGCTAGTATCATAGATTTAAAGACCTGAATGTAAACTTCATGTACCAGCTTTACATGAAGGTGAAAACAATTTACACCTGTACATAGTTTAAATCACAGGAATGTCCAACCAGCAGCCCATGGGCCACATGCTGATTTTCTGAGGACTTTTTTGTTTATCTGTGGTATCAATTATCATGAAAAGTATGCACTGACCTTTTTTTGTTAATCAGCTTTGCTCAGTATTTGTGCATTTACTGTTTTGGCCCAACATGACTCTATTTCTTCCAATGTATAGCAGAGGAAAAAGAAAGGTTGCACACCCCTGGTTTAAAAGATCCTTTATAAAAAGTGTAGCAAAGTTATATAGAAACATATTACCTTAGGTGTAAAATGGTATTAGAGTTATGTGAAACCACTGTTATTCTCAAGATACTCATGCTAGAAGTATTTAGAGATGAACGCCATGATATCTGCAATTTACTTTTTTTTTTTTTTGGACACAGAGTCTCACTATGTCACCCTCAGCAAGGATAAGAGTGCCATGGCATCACAGCTCACAGCAACCTCCAACTCTTGGGCTTAAGCGATTCTCTTGCCCCAGCCTCCCAAGTAGCTGGGACTACAGGCGCTTGCCACAATGTCTGGCTATTTTTTGGTTGGAGTTGTCATTGTTGTTTTAGCTGGCCAGAGCCAGGTCAAACCCACCAGCTTCAGGGCATGTGGCTGGCACCATAACCACTGTGCAACAGGCACCAAGCTAGCAGTTTACTTTCAAAAGGCTCATCAAGCAACTAATCCACAGAGTGAGCAAGAGAAAACAAATGTAGCAACATGATAACACCTGGCATACCTACAAGAAAGGACATAAGAGGTACTCAGTGGACTAGTCTATCAACTTTTCTGTAGGTTCAAAAATCATTTTTTAATAAAATCTTGTATGAAAAAGGAAGACTTAATAAATCATTGGACATTTTCTTTGGGGGATATAAAATCTAACTTTATTATATTTTCTAAAACCAATAAATTCTGAATTTGCTTTAAAAGTCATATAGAAATGTATTTGGAATCTTCTCATTACTTAGCCCTTGAAAGTGACCAAAGAGCACAGGTACCAAAGACACATGAAAAGCTTCACGTCCTCTTGAAACTGCAGCTCTACTCCTCCTTTTTTGGTGGAGAACTACACTGGAGACTGATGCCCAGGTCACAAAAAAAGAGGGTAAGAAGAAACACACACTGAAAACTAGAAGCAAGAGGTTTAGTGGAGTCTCACACCAAAACAGAGTAACTTGTCTTGTATGTGGTGTGGTAAAGAGTCACCAGCTGAGTCACAAGATGTCTGAAAGGCTAATTAGTCACTGGCACCTACTGTAGCTTATTTTCAAAGTCAAATCTACCTGAAAGCATCACCAGTCATTCACACTTTAATATGTGAAGGAGATGAAACAGTCTGCTTGCTTGCTAAGAACTGGCAAAGAGTATTTGAACTGATTAAATAGGACCTTGGAGAAGATATTAGCACACAGCAGATGGCTTGGCCAAGATTCCCAAAGTGGTAACATGAGAAGTCTCAGAACAACACGAGGGTCTCAGTGCCTCAGGGGAACAGAAAGAACCATAAAAGACACATTAAAGGCAAATTTAGCCTACCTCAAAATTTTGTTTTACAGATCATTTTAGGAGAACCAAAAATTATTCTAAAAAGCATATTAACAAGCCAACACTTGCAACTTAAAGATGACCTGAAGAAGTATGGCTTTTTGTTTGTTTTAGAAATGGGATCTCACTATGTTGCCCAGGTTGGACTTGAACTCCTAGACTCAAGTGATCCTTCTACCTTAGCCTTCCAAGTAGCTGGGAATATAGGTGCAAGCTGCTGCACCCAGCTAGTATGGCTTTTTAAACAGATGAAAACCGAATGGAGAACTGAACCACATATCATTAAAACTTAATACTTACTGTGGAATAGCAACACCTAATTTTAGTTATTCTAGACAAATTACTGACAAAATACACCTCCAAAAAAATGTGTAAATCCTTCAGAATGGCAGAGCAAACTCACTGAACTTTAAGAAAGGTATGTACTTTCAGTTACTAAATAAAATGATTAAGAACCCACTCACACTGGTTATTATACACATGGCCCGATACACTCACTGCAGAAAGTTCATCACTCTGAAGCTGCTGTAGTCTCTTCTCAACCATTTCTGTTAGATCCACAAAATTTTCATCAAATCCAAGTCTCTCAACAACTGGACTAAATTCTTTCAACAATTCTACAATTAAAATAATATTGGAGCATATATGTAATTGATGTTTTAACCAGAATAAATTCAATGCTTAAAAATACATCAACTATATTGGTAAAGGTTTTTACCATTATGGTCATAGTTCTACATTATCTTTAATAAAAACCTCAGTTGATTTTTTTTTTAATGTACCGCATTCTGAGGAGAGGCAATATTTTCCAACAAGTTAAAAAATGGCAGCCCTACAGCAGTGACTCATGGCAATATATTCAGCTCAGTCTTCCACGCTATACTACTTACCTAAGCAGACTGTAGTTTACTCTTTGACACACTGCTTCAAAATCATAAGTAAACTACAATCACTGATATTTAATGTATTACAGGTACAGAAATAGTATTTTTCACCTAATAGGCAAAGATTTTTTACCTAACACTCTCATACATGCTAATACTATGCTGGGGCAACCTCATGGGCTACATATAGGCATTCAAAATTTTAAATGTAAATAACATTTGATTCAACAATAGAAACTTTATAGCTGTCCACTTAAAAGTATGCCAAAATTTCTATGTAAAAATGTCTACTATAGCATATATTTGTTAGAGCAAAAGCCTAGCAATAGCATAATAATCCATTACTATGCAGGAAAACCATATATCAATCAAAACAAGACTTTTTTAGTGAAAAAAAGGTGCAATTAATATTTATGCAGCAACAGTGGAAGATACTGCCTTCATGTCACTAAAGGTCTGGTTAAATAAATATCAGACACATACAATGGAACCCTGTGCAGGCATTAAAAAGAATGAGGAAGATTTCTCTGAACAATAAAAAAGATCATTAAGCACAAAGGCAAGACGCAGAATTGTGTGTGTTATATAATCATTTCTGTATACACTAAAAATGCCCTGCAGTTCTTGATTATCTGGACACAACCACAACTTTGCAAGAATGTGTAGGTGTACAGCCTTAATCTTTTCTGATTGGCCATCCCTTCGTCTCTTTTCCTCCCATTTTTACCCTGTCTCTTTCCCAACTCAAGTTAATCAATGTTAAAAACTTACTATATATCCTTCTGTGTTTCTCTTCTTGTTCACATACAAACATATACATATGGGAGAGTTATCAGGGTTATTGTTTTACACACTTGGAAAAATGTGATATACAACTTGTATCTTGCCTTTTAATTCACACAGTCAGGCATATCTCTATGAGTCAAATGGCACTGCACCAATGTATTCTTTTTAATGGCTATCTCCATCATATCGAAGTATTTATTTTGTCATTCTCCTCTTGATAGGCATTTTTCTTTTCACATTTCTGCCAATTATAAACCATGGTACAATGAATATTTTTGTACATGTCTTTATGTACTTATGATTTCATTTCTATTTAATATATTCCCAACAGTGATATCACTGGGTTAAAGACTATATATCTTTAATCTCAGCACATTTCTTGATTTTTTTTATTACACTGTTTTTATTTTGTGGCAAGCTTGATGGATATAAAACAATGTTACTAATTCAAATATCCTTAGTCACTAATGAATTTGAGCATATTTTTCCATGTAATTGTTGGTAGGCTCTTTTTGTCAACTGACTATTCATATCCTTTGTCCATTTTTATTAGACTTTTTTTTAAATTTCAGATTAATATGGGAGTATATACAATTAGGTTACATAGTTTGCTTTGCTAAGGTTAAAGTACAAGTTGTAGGTGTGTTCTTCACCCAGGAAGTGTGCAATATTCCCATGCAATGTATCTGCTGTGTGTAAACTGTCCTATCCCCTTGTCCCCAACATGAATTTCATTGAATTTTCTTTCATATGACCATGCAGGTGTTTAATATTGGGCTTCTTTTTCCTGTTAATTTCTAAGAACTATATACTACAAATAGTTAACCTTTTCATCTGAAAACTGCTATGATTTAATAAAACAAAAACAGAAAAAAGTAAACACAATACTGATCCTTACACATTTTGAAACCATATGTATTTGTACACATATTCTACTAGAATACTAAAACTCAAACCCAAACCATAACATGGGAGAGTTCAGCCACATTCTAATATGTAAGGTATATGTAAAAATCTAAGAAAAATTAATATACCCATTATTTTTTCTAATAGTTTATTTGAAATTAGTTTTTAATTATGCTGATCAAACATTACAGAAGCTTCTTCCAACTATCATTAATGCATTAGAGATTACCGTATTTCTTCATAATTCATTTAAAATAAACTCTCCCATTCTCTCATGTAAACCTTGTTTACATTTTGCCTGCCATCTATAAACATCAGTTGTGATAGTTCAAATCACTTCCCATTATAACTTTATTGAAAACATTACTCATTATATATAGCTGTCCTGTGATATAGTTTTTAAAGTGGACAAGCCCCCCAATAAAAAGTTATTAGAAAAAAAGAACATGGCTTATGACATTTTACATTTATAAAAAGTTTAACATAGTGAATAGGCCTCCTACCTAAAGATTAATGCTAAAAGTATGCTGCCTGTAATTTGTACCTGTAACTTTATAAGACATTTCTCTGTAACGGGTTAAGTCTTCTCCATTAACTAGTACCAGCTGCGGACACTTTTCTTTCGCCTCTCTGACAGGCATACACTTCTTGACTCCAAATTTCCTAGCTTCATAGTTGCAGGTCACCACTGAAAATTTCTGCTGAACCCCTATAAAAAATAAATATTTTAGGAGAAAACTAAGCAGGATTGAAAAAACATTTTAAAACATTAATTTGATATTATAATTGTGTAAGTTATAAGGCAATTTGTTTTAATAAAAATAAAAAGCCTAGTCTCAGTTTAAAATATAGCCTCCTTTCATCAAAATTCTACAATGCAGAAATGTCAGGTTTTCAAGCTATCTACTTATTATGAATTATAAGACACCAATATGTTCTTTTTTCATGCCTTACTTTTAATCTTTGGTTGTTTTGTCTACTTTGTGGAAGAAAGAAAGTTATTATTAAATAATAAAACACCAAATGATAGAATTACATGGTAGATCAGTTATTCAGATATAAGAGGCATCTGCACATTACAGTTCTCAAATTTAACACTTAACATAAATCCATATATTCTATGAAATCTTCAGTGATAAGACACAAATCAAACAAACCCTTCTAGGATTTTTTTTACAGACAATATAAAAGCAGGTTAATTTATACTGCTGTATAAAACTCTAGGCCATGTTTTACAAAGAATAAACCACATTAAAATAATTTAGTGCAATTATAGTAGTTGCTGCTCGAAAAACCCACTTAATTTAAGAGTAACTTGTCAATGAATATAAAGCAATGATGTGCTCTAAGGGCCAAAGTACAATTACTAGGGATCTCCTCCCAATTAACATTCCCAATTATTAAACTATTCGTAACAGCAACCTGCAGATTAGACAGTGAAAAGGCATTATGAGTTCCCTCCTTATCAAACATGATTAAATTATGATCATCTACATACTGAACAAAATTCCAGTTTACTGGTTAATTTAAGAAATAGCTAAACATCTAACATTAGGGAGACGGACATAACTTTTTTCCCCTACATGTTTGAATTTTACTTATCTTAGATAAACATTGCTCTTACAGCAGCAAGTAGTCAATTTGTTTAAGAGAAAAGCAAAAATGTTTATTTCTAAAATAGTGATAGTGGGTACCAGCCCCATATACCAAGGGTGGTGGGTTCGAACTCAGCCCAGTCCAGCTAAAATAGGAGAGGCAACTCCAACAAAAAACAGCCGGGCGTTGTGGTGGGCGCCAGTAGTCCCAGCTACTTGGGAGACTGAGGCAAGAATATCGCTTAAGCCCAAGAGTTGGAGGTTGCTGTGAGCTGTGACCCTACGGCACTCTACTGAGGGCAACAGGGTGAGACTCTGTCTCAAAGAAAATAAATAAATAAATAAAAATAAAATTGTGATAGTATAAACAAGGTAAAGAAACATTTTCACATAAAATTTTTTCATATATCAGGTTGTGTCCAAAAATACTTCATGTTAGGTTGTGCCCAAAAATATAATCACTGAGTCAAAGGTATAAAGTTCCTCAGTAAATAAAAAAGTCAGATTGATAACATTCTTAAATTTTTTTTTCTTCAACAAAGCCTACAGCACCCAGTATTCCCAAGCAATCTCCCATCCAAGTACTAACCAGGCCCGACCCTGCTTAGCTTCCAAGATCAGATTGATAAAATTCTTAACTTAGAAAGTTGTCTTTTAATTCACAATTATATAAACTCGTTACCATATGTCACCAGCCTGATTTGAGCATAGATTACTAGAGCATTTAAGTGAAAGATTACTTTTGTTTTCTCCAAGAAACTGAACATTCTCCCTCACTTCCCAATAATCATTAATTCCTACTTAACACCTTTTAAGAATTATCTACAAAGCATCTTATATATCAGTGCTAATTATTAGAAATGCCCTCAGGAGAAAAAACTTAGGTCCCCTGATTCTGACACCCTTAGTAAAGTCTTAAGATCCTAAACTTACCTTGGGATAGCAAAAATCAGTCATCCCTTTGTCCTTTAGTAAATTAGCTAGGCTGTATTGGGATTAAGCTCAACTAGGTGCAAGAGGGTAGCAGCAAGTGAACCAAAATAGCTCTTTATATTTATACTAAAAGATGAATCCATCCTGCACACATGAAAAAATCCATCTCTTTCTTCTGTATCTTTCCCAATTTAAAATATGAATAATAATGTTAAAACAAGCCAGCATATCAGTAAGTAAATACTCCATGTAAAATTTTTCTTTGAGTTTTTATGGAAAGCTTGCCCTTAGCATTTAGGGTTCTATTCAAACATTTTTAAGAATTAATTTCAGAAATGAAGGGTAGATAGAAACTTCCATTAACACGTAATAAAAGTGGTTGTTTTTAAGATGCAAGCCATGTAAAAGTTCAAGCACTGAGAAAGTGAAATCTCCCTGGCAAATTAAGCTACTCACCAGTATAAACTAAAAGTTCATCTGTTCAGTGGCTGTACTAATCAGATTTACCATTTTTTTATTGAGGCAAGGTCCAGCTGTGGCCTGCACTAGAGTGCAGTGGCACTATCACAGTTACTGCCACCTCAAACTCCTGGCTCAAGCGATCCCTCTTCTTCAGTCTCCAAAGTAGTTGCTGGGACTACAGGTGCATGCCACCAAATGAGGCTGATTTTTCTAAATGAGACAGGTCTCACTCTTGCTCAGGCTTGCCTCCAATGTCTGGCCTCAAGCAATCCTCCTGCCTCAGCCTCCCAAAGTACTGGGATTACAAGCTTGAGACGACACACCCCATTCACTGCTTATTAAATGAAGCTTATAAATTTACACTTGTTAGTAAAGCAAAGATGATCATCTATAAAATACCATAAGAACTGCTTCCAAATCTTCCTTTTTAAAATTTTTTAAAAAACCGTTAATATGGTTCATAAGTCAGAATATAATGAACATTACAAATGAGTGGATAATCTCATACTTATACAATAAAAATATTATCAATGGTCAGAGTTACCTAAAGGTTTGTCTCTTAGTTCTGGATTTGATATCATTTCTACTTGTGCATAAAAGCAATCCAGATCCAGGTGTGCTATGACTCTAGACGAAAAACTTCCTGCTGGCAACACTTGATCGTGAAATCCTGCACAATATGTGAGAAATACAAACATATGTTCAGGCTGGATACCATCTCTGAGCAACTGACAGTTTCCTAAAACATGATACTGTCCAAAGTATGAAGACTTGTAAGCTTTTTGCTTGATTTATTATGAGTCAAAGTATCTAAAAACTACAAAGACATGAAACTCCATCTACAGTAGGGTCTTCAGTCCTGATGAATTAGCATGTCTTGCTGCACTGCATTTTTCTCAGGATAGCAATAAACTTAAAGCAGAAAAGTTTTGACCAATAATGGATGAGCTAATAGCAAGAGTGAATACTATCACTTGTTAGTTTATGGTAACTTTTACCGTAAATCCGAAGGGGCAGAATAGTTGAAACAACACGGACATTAACCAACTTGAAAATTGCAAGTGGCACATCCTTACATTTAAGAAAACTGTCTAAAATATAAAATAGCAAATGACAATTTCTGGGTTCCAGCGGACTATATTTAATTCCCATACGACAGCAGAATTATCAGGTATAGCGCTAAATTTCCAGTGCCTAGAACTGTGTCTAATGAATAAACAAACACTTCGATTTTAAAAAGTAGTTTATAAAGTCACCCCTGGGGTAAGGGATGACAAAGGGGACTCTTGCTCTTAGCTCTTAACAATGGTGAAAATTGAGGCAGGCTAAATGCAGTGTAATATTCTGGGATAGATACCAGAACTGAAAAAGAACATTCAGGGAAAAAACTGATACAATCTGAAATAAGTGTAGTAAACAGTATTATTCCAATGTTATTTTCCTAGTTTTGACAAATGTGCCAAGTTGATGTTATCGTTAGGGGAAATCTATCTTGGCAACATTCAGATAAATCTAAAATTATTCCAAAATTAAACAACAACAACAAAGCAGAGCATGAAAACCAGTGTCATTGCCACCAGGGGCCTGAGTGGGACAAGGCAGGGACCAGAAGCTGGACCTGGGTCACCAAAGAGGAGACCACGGCCCACGTGCCCCCTGCTCGGTTCCGAGCCATCCATCCCTTCCTGCCAGGCTGAGGCCGGGTCTCCAACTCTGCCAAGTGAGCACCACGGCCTTCAACTTCTCCAACCATAATTCGCCGGGAACCTCGCAGTTTCGTCAGGCTGTTTGAGAGAGGCGCCGCCTCGCCTCCGTGGAGGTGAATAGAAAGGCACAGATGCGCCCTCAGCAAGCATCTGTCGTTGCCGGCGCGCCCCGCTCTGCTCCCAGAGGGTAAAGCCATCCCAGTTCGGGTACACGCCACGAAACTCGGGGCGGAGAAAGGCAGCCCTTGAAGCCGAGCTGGGCGGAGGCGGGGGCGCCCCGACGACTGCCACCCGGGCATCCGCCCGCCCCGCCCTTCTCATTTACACCCCAGGGAGGCTGCCCGGCCCCTCCAGCCCCAGCGCACCCTGCGAGCCACCTGCCGCCCCCAGGTCCTCCAGCTCCATGACCCAAGCCTCGTTCTCTTCCTCTTCGCCGCTTCCTCCCTCCTCGGGCTCCACCCCTTTCTCCATCCTGTCGCGGCCAACCGCAGCGCAGCTTCCGGCCGCTTCCGCCTGGTCTCCAGGGAAACCGCGGCCGACCGCCCCCCACCCCGCCCGCCGCCGCTCCGAGACTGGCGCCTGCGCGGTTGGGGCCTCCCAGCGTGTTTCCCGGAGTGATGAGCGCCCGGGAGTCATCCAGGCCCGTGGGCTGGAGTTCGCTCTCGCCCGGTCAGGCTGCAGGTGGGACGGTGACTGTCCACATAGCTCGTTTTTTGAAGGCTTTGGAATTAGGCGCACATCACAAATTTTAACTTTTTTCTTTGCTCTAATCCCCTGGACGGCACGAGTGCTAATCCTAAACCTGAAGGATTTATGTGATGGAGGTGGGCAAAGGGTACGTGTTCGAATACCAGCAAGGTGGTTAAGCAAGTGTATTAGTATGTTGTGTTTTGTTTGCTGTCTTATTTAAAGACATTGGGACAAGTTTAATTTTTAACTGAATAGGATTTTGGTACTTGACTGTTGGAGTTCTGACAAAATTTCGCCGTCCCCCCATCTTGTTGACAGTATGACTTTGGGCGGGTTGCATAACTGCTCCATAACTGTTCCAATGGAAAAAAAAATTGTCTTGAAATTAAATGAATGAACGGCTAACAACCAACATATGCTTTAATATTGTTAAGACAAAATTTCCCATTGAGCCCCCTCCCCATTTTGTTAACTGCGATTTGGGGCAGTTTGCATAACTGCCCTGAGCCCTAGTTGTTCCACTGTAAAAAAAAAAAAAAAAAGTTTGTCTTGGGATTAAATAAATGAATGGATAAAAACTAACACCAACTTTAATATTCTAAGGTATATAAAACACCTAGCACATAGGAGGTGCTCAATAAATGGACGCCACGTGTGCCTGTGTGTGTTGGTATCTGTGTGTATTTCTTCCCACAGAGGAAATTTGGAGATTCTCCCTGTGTGTGTATGTGAATATACATGTCTATGCATATACACATGTTCACACATATATTTTGTTTTTTACATGATTTGCTTCTTATCACACAGGATGTGAGACCCTTGAGAAACCCTTTGAAGGACATACTGATGCTTCTCTAAGGAAGGAATTGTGAGCAGAGCTGGCTGTGGTTTGACAACTAAATCTTCCTCTTTGAGTATTTATCACCTTCCTCTTTGAGTATTTAAGTCTTAGACTTCTGCACTAGTTCCCTAGATGTCTCTTGTGTGGGATCTAAATCACTTGTTGAGAGAGCTATGCTGCTTTCTTTGCGAATGCTATTTGGTAAATTTAGATTGAATCAAGTGCCTCTTTGGTTATTAAGTGCCTCTTGGACTATCAGTGAAGGACTAACTACTAATAGACAACTAAGGTTTGTTTTTACTTTAATTCTTCCAAATAGAGAATGGCGCAAACCACTAAAATACCAACAAAAATGAAAACAGTCCCTCTAGAAGAGTTCTGGGTCCACTAACATTCAACATATTGCTTGAGTAAAATCAGCAAGTGTTGAAAACAACACAAATCATCAAGCCTTCTTGAATGAGTTGCGTTTATGTGACTGTCAGTTGTCAAATTTGAAGAGGGGCATTTAGTGAAAGGACAGACAATTGGGGCCTGGGACACCTAGGGGAGCAAGCAGGACTGGCTGTATGAATGTGGGACCTAGGTGGTCACAGCAGGCTCCAGACTTGGTTTAACATCCTGCTGCTGTCTGGAAATTATTTTTGAACAAGGGAGCCATGTTTACATTCTTCCCTGTAACCCCAAAATTATTTAGTCAGAGGGTGAAACACAAAGAGAAGCAACATAGAAAATGACATGTAGAAAACACCAGTGTGTCAGGCACAGGGCTGAGCTTCGTTTTGTTTGATATAAAAGCCCTAGGGCAGTGTTTTTCAAACTTTTTAGTGTCACAGCACACTTGATCCCGTAGTTAAACTTTCACAGCATGCTGAAAATATGTTGATCAGAAAAAGAATAAAGAAAAGAATATGCTTACTGTACTTTGAACTTCTTTTGAAAATAATTTACTTAATGATTTTTAAGTATTTTCATAGCACAGCTAAGATCTTCTCACAGCACACTAGTGTGCTGTGGCACCCAGTTGAAAATCACTGCTCTAGAGAGTATTATCCTCATTTTACCAAAACTGAAGCAGACTAGGAATGACTGAAGTGCTTACTCTAGATTGTGAATCTAGTAATGACAGATGCACTTTTCAGAGTTGTCCACAGGGAAGAATAATGTTTCCTTCACAGAGGAAACCAATGCCCCTCTGGCCATTTTCCTTGGTGCTTCAAACACCAATGACTTAAGTGGGGAGAACAAACATCCCTCAAATATATTGAGAGGCATAAAAATAAAAAATTAATTTATATAAGCTAACCCATGACTTTGTTGTGGGGTGTTTTATAAAAAGGTTTGCTTTTTTTTTTTTCAGTTTTTGGCCAGGGTGGGGTTTGAACCAGCCACCTCTTTTTTTAAAGTTTATAAATCTGTTCCCCCAGTTTTAATTAATAGGATCTAATTTAGCATAATTTCAGGAAATAAAGATCTTGAACTTGGATGTATATTTAACTGCCAAGTGAGAAAAACAATTGCAAGGCAGAACAAACACCATTAATTAAATAAAACTATGGTTGAAACAAAAGTCGTGGAAGAGCATGGGTTTGCAGAATGTGGCCAGTGGATAAAGCAACTGGAGGTATTTCAGAGTGTCAGGAGTCAAGACATTATAAACTTAAGTGTGAACTCCTGTGCCTCTGAACGGTACACATACCAGTGCCTATGTCTCTCCTCCTAGGCAAATTGGCCACATAGGATTCAGAGGACGATTCTAGGCAATGTTCAAGAGTTTCTCATGAAGAATGTGATGTATCTGTATTTTTTGCTGGTTGGTAGGGTGGCTACATGGGTAGAAATTTACCAGGGATTCAAAGGAGCAATTAGATTGGGGAATAGGACAAAGGCTTCATTTTGTGTGGTCCTTTCCCTAGTTCAGTGGTTCTGAACCAAGGATGCTTTTGCTCCCAAGGGGATACTTGGTGGTCACATCTTGGGGATGGAGCTCTGCCCTCCTGGCATCTAGTGGGTAAAGGCTAGGGTTGTTGCTGAACATCCTACAATAAACAGGACACCTCACAACAAAGGATTATCCAGCTTAAACTGTCAAGTGGGTGGCAGTTAGGATAAGCACAGCCTCTCACCTCCTTGCTCCCAACTATTCTTTTCAGATGTGGGTCTCCAGTTTATCGGGAAGACTTGGTCTTCAAACGTGCTTTTAAATATACATAAAATATTTTTACATAAAGGAGGATGTTGAAGAGGGAAACAAGTATTGTTTCCAAGTATTGAGCCAAGTCCTCACTTGGCTTTTTTTACTGGGAGAATTTACATTCTGAGGCAGAAAAGCAAATAGAATGCATTTGCTAGAAAAGAGGTTTAAGGAAGATATCTATGCTTTTATGGAGCTTGCAAATCGCCCTGAGGGTAAAAGGCTAATGAGTCAGAAATAATTCAAAAGGCAAAGAGGCTAAAACCAGAAAACACAAGCTTCGGGTAGTTGAAAGCAAACTATAATTATGTTGTGTTGGCTGTTGGAAAGTGTGCACGTCCTGCGGTATTGACTTAATAACTCTCATTCAAGAGTCACAAACACTTTGCGTAAAATCTTTAATAGTCATGAAGGACCTTTCTTATTTCCACTGTTGGATTTTACACCATAGCCCTAGTTTGCAGTTTCAAGATTTCTCTGTATCACCTAAATATATTTGCTGTACATCATATGATTGGGCTAGGACACAGCGTAAGAGGCTGGAGGTTTTTTGGCAGTCAGCTTCTGCTGCTGTGACCTTTCTTAGTAGTTCTATAGAAGTCTGGCGAAAAGCCTGCCTAGTCATTGCAGTAATAATATTTTACATGTTGCTTGCCCGGGTGTGTTCAGTGTCCTCACTTGGTCATTTTCCTTAGAGAAAGGTAGAGACCAAGGTGATCACAATACTTGTCATTTGGTCCTAGTTTGTAAATAAAGTCTGCACATTTCAGTCACTGAGAGAAAAAGAACTACTTGATGGCGTATATATATATATATATATATTTTTTTTTTTTTTTTGAGTCAGAGCCTCAAGCTATTGCCCTGGGTAGAGTGCTGTGGCATCACGGCTCACAGCAACCTTCAACTCCGGGGCTCAAGTGAGTCTCCTACCTCTGCCTCCCAAGAAGCTGGGACCACAGGCGCCCACCACAATGCCCGGCTATATTTTTTTGGTTGCAGCCATCAATGTTGTTATTTGGTGGGCTCAGGCTAGATTTGAACCCACCACCTTAGGTGTATGTGGCTGGCACCTTAGCCACTTGAGCCACAGGCGCCAAGCCCTTGATGGCATATATTAAGCACAAGCAGATTGACATGGATCAATTTATAGACATTTAATTTTAACATTTTTTAAAAGGACCTCTTTTTCTGATTGTGAAAGCAGTGATTGTTATGGAGAATTTGAAAAATACAGACAGGAGGTAAGAAAAAAATAGAAATAACCTGTAATAATCTATAATCTTGTTGGTCAGTGATAACCATGCTTTAATAGTTTTCTTATAAAGCATGACTTTCAAAGAAAGTTTTTATTTATTTTATTTCACAAATAAATTTGTGGGGCGGCACCTGTGGCTCAGTGAGTAGAGTACCGGCCCCATATACCAGAGGTGATGGGTTCAAATCCGGCCCCAGCCAAAAAAAAAAAAAAAACTACAGATAAATTTGTGTATCTAGTTCTTCACCAAGCTACAAACTCACTGTGAGATGCATTGCTTAAATTACACCAACAAGCTTCTATACACTTGTTTTCAATGTCAGTTTGAAGAAATTGAACAAAGATGATCTCTGCATCATCTTGGAAATATTAATAATTTCAACCTGATCAATTTTTCTAGCTTGAGATTCATATGAACTCTATAAAGAAAAATAACGTAATTATGGAACATTTTCTAAAAGTTGATTTGAAGGCTTCATTTAAAGATCCTTTAATCCTAAAAGGACTGCTTGTGCCTCTGGTTAAATTGTTTCT